GAAAGGTAAGGAAACCCATACAAGGTTTCTAAATGTTTCCTTATMTTTCCTTTCCTTTTCCTATTTTTTCCTTCAAACCAAACACAGCCTTAGTGGCTAAGGGCGAATCATTGTTTCTAACTCTCGTGTCGTGTGAGTCCATAAAAGGTTAAGTGGTAAAGAAGCCAAATTAGAAAATGTGTGTGAGACCCAGAAACATATTTTAATTTACAAGCTCATCTTCTGTACCAACCAAACTTTGGCAAGTCATAGATAGAAAGAAAGATATTGTGGAAAAGTGCCCAAGTATTTTGTCTGACAGCTTTGAAATTGATTCTAATATTGTGCCTAAAAGGCTCATTCTCAAGGTGAAAGAGCCCCTAAATCACTGTCCAGTGCCTTTTGCTTTGTCCACATGTTCCAGTTTTTTGAAGCTCCACTGAGCTGTGAGTAAAATTAGGCAACATATACTGTGTTGGATTAAAGGTGGTGATAACACATAACTCTATATACTAGTTTATTGAATACAAAGACGCAGGAAAGAACAGAAATCTTTAAGGCTGTACTTAGACTTTTGCATCAAAATAAGTGGGAAAAAAACAGTGGGGGATCACATCTAATTGAGTGGCTATAATAAGAAAGTCATAACCTATAATGCGAATGTTGTATTTGTTTTGGGTGTTGTGCATTTAAATTGATATAAAAATATGTAACAAAATCTATAATGCAATAACGTGATTGGTTGAATGTGATGATAAATACATATTTTTAAACCATGAAGTATACATTGTGAATAAATGTGAACCAATGAAAATTTAATTAGTAAATTTTAATGTGATTGGTTGAGATTTAGATTTAACATACAGCCAATATTAGTGAATGCAACTTAGTGGGGAAAGAATATAATTATCAATTTCTTTGAAGCCTAAGAATTATCAATTTTAAAGTTTAATTGTACTTATATATACTATGAATGATTTGAATGTGGTGGTGGATACTTAGAACAAAATATTTTGAAGTAAATCATTTTATTCTGACTCTTGGATGAGATTTTGGGTTCTTTAATTTGTTTAGTTTCTAAAATCCTATCGGCTATAATTGTCTCTTTACAAAAAACTAATTACATCCTAAAAACCCTTGATTTCATAATCTCTCCACATTACCCTGAAATCTAGTAGTTTAGTCCATGATCTCATTTTTTGAGCTTGTATCGAATTTCAACCAAATATTATGAAGTTATTTGAGAAAAATAAATTTCTATATAAATTAGTTTTCTTTTACAATTTTTATACCATCATATTTCTTATGGATCCAAATGTAGGTTTGATTTGCCTTTATTTTTTATTAGTAGAGGTACATTAAAGAAAATGAAAATGCATATCCTAATAATAACTGCTAGCATGAGAAACGCCACTCTGTTCTTTTTTTTTTTTTTTGTTAATCATGGTGTGATAAAATCCCTATATACGTATTTACAAAACAGTTTCTGGGGCTCGATTTGTTTGCAGTATTGGTGTAAATGCATGGGAGTGTAAATAAGTTGAATGCAAACTCTCTGGTTTTGCTTTTGCTTCATATTTGGTTTTACTTGACTTGTTTGTAAGAGTTAAAATAGGAAGTAAAAATGTAAAATGATGTGGTTCCATCTTCCAACTTTATACTAGAGAAAATTGATGTAGGAGGGAACTCAGAGGTGATGCAAATTTTGCATCAGTTTTTGCGATATAAAATTTGCACTACACACCAGGCACTACAATTGAGATAAAATACAAATTTTGCATCATGTAGAAATACAAATCATATTATAAAAGAGGTAAAATACAAAAATCTCTCCTGGAGTTTCTGACAATCATAAAAATCTCCCCTATAGTTTTACTTTAGTAAAAAACCTCCCCTAGATTTTTAAAGAAACAAAAAAAAAACTCCATAGCTTCCATCAATGTCCAAGACGGAAAACACTAAACCGAAAAATCATTTTTTTCAAATACCTATTTTACCCTTTTGCATATTAATTGCATCTATTTTTACTAAAATAATGGGTCTGGATGTAGTAGGCATGTTAGGTAAGCACAAGGAGTGACCACCTAATAGCTGTGTGACACTTGTCCCAGCTAATGTGCTTTTCATCTAAACGTTTTTCTTCCGTTAGACAAGAATTATCTATTATTTTATTATTTTTCTTCTACTGTTTATTGTCTTCTCCCTCTGAAGGCGAAACAGCGATGGCCACCTTGAGCTTCTCCCCAGTGATCCCTCTTCTCTCATCCTCTCCATCTCTTTCCCTCATTCTTTTCTTCTCTTATCTTTTCTATTTTTTTCTTTCATTTTCCTCTCCCACAATCCATAGTCGTAGTTCTCCATGTTCGTTGTTCCCCATCGATAAGAATAGATGACTTACGGTGCTGCAATCCTTCTCAAATTCCCCATTCGATTTGAACAAAAACCTAACCTCTTTCGGTCCCGTTTACTTCCCTAACTTTCCTTCTTATCACCCCACTGTCGTTGCTCTGTCATTCTAATCATCAATAGAGCTCCTGTGTTGTGAATTCTGTTGTTTGAACCGGTGGCTATCCCAACCGAAATCCTAGAAAATCATCACCAGTCGAGTGCTAGCAATCCCAGATCGGATCGGATAAAAAGTCTCTTGCAACACCGTTCTCAGGCCAAAATTTTGATTTAGGTACGTCTCTTCTCCTCTACGATTTCCCCTTTTTCGTATTTTACTTATTAATTATAATAGAAGAAAAACGTTTAGATGAAAAGCACATTAGCTGGGACATGTGTCACACAGCTATTAGGTGCTCACTCATTGTGCTTACCTAGCGTGCCTACTACATCCAGGCCCTGAAATAATACCCTTGCTGACATGTTATAATCTTTCCTCTCCCGTCGATCTCTTTACCCCTGAATTACACCGTYTGAAGAATAGAAAGACAACATTGATTTCACCAATCCAAACCCATTATTCAGCTCCCTTTTCTTCTCCTCCCTCCTCACCGTCCCTACATAACACATTGAACTGCCATCGGAACCACCTCTCTATGGGGGCAGTTCGGTGGTGTATTCCAATGCATGAAATTAATCCAGCTCTCTCTATGAACCCCGAGAACATGAAATTAATCCAGTCATATTCCAACTTAATAGAACATGGAATCTGATGAATCTTTCATTGAGATTTGAGGGACTGTACACTACTACACTGGAAAAGCAGAGGTTGCAAGTTAACCATCAGTTGTCCTACAAACTGCAATGAAGATTGAAGAATGATCATAACTCATAACATAACATGACCTCTCTTTCTCTCTCTCCGTTTGGCATTTGAATCTAACCAACGGTCATCACCATCGATCTAAGTGCAAACTTGAGGCCTGTCTTCTTCTTTAGACGATGCTTGGTTGGGAATGGCAACCACCGTGGTTCCGATGGTGGTGTTGTATTCGCAATGGAGGTTCAGGCTATGTGGGGGCGGTTTGATGCTATGTAGGGACAGTGATGAGGGAGAAGAAGAAAAGAGAGATAAATAATGGGTTTGGATTGGTGAAATCAATGTTGCATCCCTCCTCTTCGGACAATGGAGTTCCCTACTGACATGCATAAAGTATGGTAATGCAGGGACTGGTCTGTTGTTGCTCAAAAACCATGAATCTTAATATGTTCCTTCTTCACAATTCTGGCCTGAACAAGGAATGTCAACACATTCTTCTACTAATCACCTTGAAGTTGAATAACTTGGCCTAGCTTTGGGTCCTAGACAATAGTATCATAGCAGCAAAATTCCTTATTTAGATCCTTGAGTATTTTGAAGTAACTAAATTCCTTCCTCAAACCTTGCACTGTTAGGATTTTCCAACCATTTCTCTGTTGTATATGCACATGCACATACTCTTGCCCCTGAATCCTCAGCATTTGCCTCTATAAAGGGATGGAAGGTTGTAGGGATTTGGATGTCGAGTTCAGACATGAACCTTGGATGTTGAAAGTGGAGGACTACATAGTTTTGAAGGTATGGCCAATTGAAGAAGAAAGAGATCGACAAGAAAGAGATGGATAGGAGAGGAAAGGGGGATAACATGCTGATAGGGGTAAAATAGGTTTAGAAAAAATGATTAAACGATTTAACGTTATTCATCTTGGTCATTGACGGAATGGAGGTTTTTTGTCTAATTTTTTAAAAATCTAGGGGAGGTTTTTGCTAAAAGTTCAAGGGCGGTTTTGGTATTTTACCCTGATAAAAGACAAACGGATACAAAATTGAATCAGGTGCAAAATGTTTATCCGGTTCTGGATTCAAGAGCACTTCGCAGTCTGTGCTTGAATGTTCTTTTCTCCGCAGAAAAAAGGTACAAAAGTACAAGTACGTAGAATATTTTTTGCATTGGACATCAAACACAGTTTTAGCGGATTGACTTTGGGGTCTTCAAAGGACTCTAAGTACAAAGATCGACTGAAACACCGAGAAATTAAAAAATTATTTACAGGAATTCCATAAGCTCAGACATTGTTCTTTCATTCTTTGCTCCCTTTTGAAGCTGAAATCCAATTTAAAAAAAAAAAAAAAATTAAAACTAGTTCAATTGCAAAAGAATAATCTGTTTAGTTAGTTTTGCTTGTGCAGATAGAAGAATACATGCACGTATTCCTGTTACACGTTAGCTCTGTATAATTTACAGTGAGAAAATGTTTCAAACATTTTACACATACTTGATCGCTTTGGTCTCCTTCTCCTTAGGCTTGAGCTCTATGCCTTGAATGATGAGGCCATACTTCCAATGGCCGGATTTCACCTCCATGACACTCAGCTTCACCTCCCCATCCTCTCCCCGGCCGGTGTAAAACTCTCCCATCTCCACCTCCAGCCACCCGTCGCCTCGCTCTTGAGGGTGCTGACCCTCCAACATCTCCTGCGGCAACCTTACAGGCGTCGGCGAACTAATTGAGGTGCTTAACCTCAGCGTCCGCCGGAATAACCCCTCATTGTTCAGCATCCCCAACTGCGCATTCTGCTGGTCACTTGGATTCAAGTACGCAGTCTGCACCTTACCGGCGCCACCACCCTCTCCTCCTCCTCCTCCTCCTCCCACTAATTCCACTGAGACGTCTATTGGTTGGTAGTCAAAACCGAAAACCTCCTCCGCAAACTTGTACACAAATTTAGCTACATAAGTTGTTTCTGGGGACAGCATCCGTGTCTGGATCTTTCCACGGATTTTGAGCCAACATGCATGCACGAGCTCTGCCACCTTAGGGAACCTGTATGTGTCAGATGCATGTTAGCTTATGTCTGTGTGTTTCAGTGGGAGAGAGAGAGAGAGAGAGAGACCTTGATTCAGAGAGAGATATCCACCTCCAGTAGTGGGGATCATCTCCCCATGCAATAGAAAGCTTTCTCGCCCCTATCATATAACATTTCTTGCCGGTCCATTTATCCAGTGCAAAGCTCTGTTAAAACGTCAATACCAACATCAGAACAGAGATGCCAACATTAAGCGCATGACGTAGAAGAGTTAAAAAATGGATGCATCAAACGTGGACCTCATAGAATATTTCTTTTTCCTTTTGGAGAGTAGAGAGAGAGAGAGAGACTTTGCCTCAAAGGTTCCAGACCCTACAGTATGCAATCCTTGCTGTATTGGGTTCTCAACTTTACGGCTTTAGTCCCACTTGTTATATATCCACTTCCACCCCACTTATCAACTATCCTCAAACTCTGAAACACAAAAGCTTCTACTATTTTCTCCTTTTCTAGTTTTTCTATCCCTTTTAAAATTCTAACTACTCTATCCAAATTACTTCTTTATAGGCCTAATACATGTAATTTAATTTGGTCTTAACTCATAAAATGTTGTTACATAGATTATAATACTAAAACAACAATCAGACTAGAGCAATTAACTAAAGAAAGAAAAACCTATATATATACTAATGGGACCCCAGCAGCATTTGAGAAAGCAACAAAAAAACAATGGTGTTTAGAGCAATTCGATATCCAAACGATGATGCAGTACAGAACCAGAGAAATGGAGCAGACACCAATGAAGAGAAAATTACCATATAACCATCGTCGACCAAAATGGGATCGTTGCAGAGGCGGAAATAAAGCTCCTTCTTGGAGGCAAAATCCAAACCCAAGGGAKCCACGGCTCGGGAGATGATTTCCTTATAGTCCGACGGCAGGAACCTCTCCCACACGTAATCGGAATCCGCCGCTGACCGGAAAACCGGCGACGCCGCGGACGACCTACAAGCTTCAAGCGCAGACGTCAGAGACATGATGTTGGAGACACATTCTTCGGGAAGGAGGTGGAAACTTGGTGACATGCTTCCTCCTGTTTACGGTAAGTACTTCACGCTCGCTCGAGATCGCCTTTGCGTCGAGAGCCGAGACTGATGCGAGCTCATCTCTCTGACTCTCTCTATATATTATACAGGCGAAAGAAGACATGAGGAGTATCGATCGACCAATCGATATCTACGAAGGCTTCGCCGCTAAGGATGTCTTATCGTTTTCTTAGAGAGGTTCTTTTTGAAAAGGGAGGTGATAAAGGGAGAGTCACGATGAGGGAAGAAATAGAATTCCTTCGTGGCTAAGATTATAGGGTTGGTCAAACCCGTGTCTTCATACGGGTTCCTTGTACACTGTGGATCTGGAATATGTTGTGGGTCCATGATGTCCATCCGTTTTTCCAGTTATAAACACTGGGCCCCATGTGATGATAGACGGTATTGAAGGCATCTAGATACCGTATGACTAAACCCTGTTGGCTTTAGTGTGCACGGAGAGATTTTGCGGCGTGAAGCACGGACTACGGAGTAGTGTCACCATTGGAAAGTTGAAACCCTGAAATGGATTGATTGGTATGACTTTTGAGTTAATTGGTTGTTGGGAGGACAAAGATAGCGTTACGCAGGCCGGGTCTTTTGAAATTTGAACCTTTGAGAGCGAAACTGAGACTATTTGAATGGTGGGCGGATACTTGGATAGTAGTTTTTTTTTGGTAAAATATACAAATCTCCCCTCAATTTTCTGACAATCATATAAACTTTCTTGTAAAAAACATCTCCTTGTAGTTTTGGAAAAATATACAATTACCACCCATTTCTTACCTTTTCAAATAGAATACGCTAAAACAATACATTTATTTTTCAGAATACCAGATTTACCCTTTGGCCGATTCATTCAAAGAACACTTTGTCGGAGTGTTCTAGTAGTGCCTATTCTTAGTGTAGGTATATGTTCACCACGACTGTAATAGCACAGAAGGTCAGCACCGGAAACATCTACAAAGAATTCATAATTTGGTATAGATTTGCGATGAGCTTGGAGCCTACACACACTTGCAATGAGTTCAAAGCATGAACACACTTGCGATGAATTCAAAGCTTATACAGATGTGTGATGAGCTCAAAGCCGCACTATCAATGACGAACTCGAGGTCGCCACGGACCTACGATGAGCCCAGAGCCATTGCGAGCTTGCAATGAGCTCAAAGCCATCGAAAATCGGCGATGAACAAAAGATACAACAAACTAGACAATGTCACTCATGACAAGATGCCTACTAAGATTAAGAAAGATACATAAGACTAGCATTGACATCATCCACGCCACATCACTATAGGAGACTTGCAAAAGGAAGTAGCATATGTGTATATGAGAATCCTTAGATGAAAGAAAACCTCGTCCTAAAGGGATCTCATAAGACACGTAGCGAACCCCTAGCAATGTCTCCCAAACAACTAACACCGAATCAAAGATTCCCTTTCCAAATGGGAATCAAACTCTTTTGGCTCCTTCCTTTTGGGACCTCAGGATCTTTCCCTATAAAAAGCGGCATGGATCAAAACGAGCACACGACTCTATCAATAGAAGCCTTTAGCCTACCCTTGCCTCCAGCCTTCCTTCATCCTCTCGAGGATGCATTAAGCTCGTCCGCCCTGGACGGAGATCTGAATGTTCGAGAATCTCCAAGTCTTTGACTGGACCAGCATACACATGGTTCGTTAGTCTGACTGCAGGGAGTATTGACGTGGGAAAAATTGGTGAAGAAGTTCCTTTCCAAATGGTTCACCCTTGAGTGGAGGTTGGCGATGGTAGACCTGTGCAATACAGAGCATCGTGTCAGAGAGGACCTTCTAGCTTATGTCATGCGGTTTCAAAAATAAACTCATTCGGTCTTCGACGAGCACGCAATAGAGAAGAGCTTCATTGAATAGTGCGTGCAAGGAATGCACTCAGCCTTTAAAATAGGCATCGAAAACATTGAAGTTGAAACCTTCAACCAATATGGAAGTGCATAGAAAGGACAACGTGCACTATCACGAACACCACACCTCAGCCAGTCTCAACAACATCGCAGTATGCAAGAAACGAAGCATACACCATCGACCGAAGACCTTGAAACACCAGAGGGCTTAACTAGGGGCCTTATTATCGCAGCGGCAACCAAAATCGACAAAATGGTCCACTACCACCAGCCCCTCCCCTTTTGCTTGTAACAAAAGCGAAGTTATTATTATCATGAATAGGCTGGTGCAAGATTGTGTAATCAGCTTGCCACCACCACCACCTGGAGTCAACCTTGAGAAAGAAAGGCATGGGGGGAGGCGGTGCAACTATCACCAATCACCAAATCATGACTTAATGGGTTGTTTCACACTCCGGTAGCTCTTTGTGTAGAAAGTGAAATTATATGACTTTGTCAAGGGGAAGCCGACTCAAGTAGAAACCAACCCCCTCCCTACGCATCCCCAAGGGGGTAGTATCAATGTGGTAGGAATGTCAAGGGGTGACCATCCAGATATGCTGATCCAACGAATCGAGCAAAACCCAGATTTACAGCTGATGGAGGGTGATTTGACCCAACCTCCTGACTAGGCGACATGTGGATATGACTCATAGTAAATGATAGCTCAGCATGATAGCTTGGCCACAACTCGGCATAATGAGCTTGAACCCCAGCAAAACAACTTGCTACAGCTCACTACAAAACAGCTTGTTGCAAGGCAACTCGCTATTGAAGCTCGCTACAATGAAGCTCACTACAAGGGAGATCGCTACAAGGGAGTTCGCTATAAGGGAGTTCGCTATTAAGCAACCYGGGGCTTTCAGGAAACTTCTTATCCGACAAGACCGTGCCTGTCAGACTGCTCCCACGTCTCTCGTCTGGCAGTGCAGCACTTGCCAGTCCAGAGGACTACACCCACGTCTCTTGCCAGGCGGCATTGTACACTCCAGCTCTGAGAAACGTGCCTCAATTGACAGGACCGTACTCTGTAATGGATACCTGTGCCAGACGAATCAGCCCTGGAAAATAACGGTTGTAGCAGAGAATCAGAGGCGGTTACACATGATGTGCCAAAGTATTAATATATAAGGGTCTCAACCCCCAAGAAAGAAGTAAGTGTGCATCTCCACTCTTAGCTGATTATTACTCTCTAAGTTCTCTACCGAGCTCTAACTTAAGCATCGGAGTGTTCCCACTGGGTGAGTGACCCGAGAATCCTTCATTTTCTTCTCCTTCTCAGGTGTTGTCCGTTGCCAGCTAAGAGAGAGGCCCCTGCCAGATAGGAATGACCGGATCGTGCTACATCATTTGGCGCCGTCTGTGGGAAATGCTTCAAAAAAAATCCTTCCTCAACCAAACACCGCAACTTTCATTAAGACTTCAATGGCATCCTCCAGTAACGTCGAACGAAGTGCCGACCAAAACACCTCCGGGGAACGACCTCAGCTCCCTATTGTCTGCATTGGCCAGTTCATTGTACCCCTTTCCACGGACAAAGTTCCTACCTTGAGCACGCCTCAGGTCATGGTGCCAGTAAACGCTCCACTTCCTTCACCGGTAGAGGCAACCTTTACAGAACCATCAGTTCTCCCAGTGGCTGGACAGAATGAGCTGGAAAACTTAGTGCACTGCGTGCAAGCCATGCAAGCTCAAATGCAACTGGTCCACCAGTTTTAGCTATATCAACAGCAAATGCTTCACCACGTCTATCAACAGTAGTTTCCACCGGTGCCCCAGTACTAGCAACAAGTTCCACCTCGACATCCTACTACATAGCAAGCCCAGCCCTGCCATCGCAGCGAGCGTGTCCCCCCCGCCGAGAGACCTCCCAGACTCAGAACCCTCTCAGAAGCTAGGTCTCATCCCACGACAAGAGGGAAAGGCAAGTTACTCCCCCCACCTCGCAACCTGTAGTTAGGTCGGGGGCTTCTCATCCAATCAGACCCACGTCGCCTCGGCCCACACAGTTCGAGCTTCCGCTCGTCGAGAACCAGTTTGAGGTCCTGGCCGCGAATTATAGACAAGGCCCTTCAGCTCATAGCCTTCAGCAGCAATCCGAGCCCCACCCTGGGCCCATCAAGCTCGACAACACAGAAGCAAGTAGTACCAATGCCGAGCCCACGAAGAAGTAGCGGAGACGCCGCCGAGCTCGCCAAACTGCCACTTACAACCTGCCCGAGCTCAAGGGTAAAGAAGAGGTGAGCTCGGATGAAGTGAAAGCCACTCCTCTCCTCTCAGTTCTGTCCCCCCTATCTCCAAAACTCCTTGCTGTCCCTATGCCTAAGGACTTCAAGCTTCCCCCCTTGGACAAATATGACGGATTGTTTGATCCAAATGACAACGTTGGCACCTTCCAGTCGTAAATGCACTTGGCTAGGGCCAGTGAGTCCTGCATGTGCATGGCCTTCTCCACCACCTTCAAAGGAGTGGCCCGCATGTGGTACAAGAACCTTGCGCCCGGGTCAATAAGAAGTTGGGCGCAGTTCGTGCAGGTCTTCACCTCCCATTTTGTCACTAGCAAGCGTTGCCCAAGAACCCAAGAAAGCCTCCTTGGCATAGTCCAGAGAGAAGGGGAGTCCATTCGGAACTACATCAAGCGATTAATGACGCTTGTTTACAGATACCCGACCTGGACCCCGCAATGCGGCTCATAGTAGCCAAGAGAGGCATCACTCACAAAGAGTTCAAGTGGCATGTGGTTGTCAACCAACTGAAGATTGTAACAGAGTTCCTCAAGCTCGCGGACCAGTTCATAGGGACGAAGGAGGAGATCAACCAGAAAAATGAAAGTGTGCCCGAGAAAAGGAAAAGGGAAGGTGAGTCCTCGATCCAAGGGGACAGCAAGAAGAAGAAAGACCCAGCTCGAGGGGCAAAGCCAAGTCAGCCTTTCCGAGCTCCGCCAGCAGAGAGGACAGACTACACACCCCTGAACGCGAAGCGGGCCGAGATCCTTTTGGCGATCAAAGACGCCCTGTATGTGAAGTAGCCACCCCGGTTGAAAGGGGACCCCAATACAAGGAATAAGAATTTGTATTGTAGCTTTCATAAAGATCATGGTCATAGTACCAAAAACTGTAAGAACCTCCATGATGAGATAGAAGAGCTCATCCGTCGCGGATACTTAAGAAATTTTGTACAAAATAATAAT